GACCCTCACCAGGCCACCACGACTTCTCAAATATGATGGCTAGTGGCTTAGCGACTTCATCTGCCAGTTCCCTCAGGATCCGCGGATGTATCTCATCAGGTCCCATGGACTTCTGCACCTTCAGGTTCCTTAGGTGGTCTCGTACTTGATTTTCACCTACAGTGGGTGGTTCTTCATTTTCCCAGTCCTCGCCTTTGCATTCTGCATCATGGGCAGTGTGGCTGCAGTCCTTGCCAATGAAGACTGAGGCAAAAAAGGCATTGAGTACCTCAGCTCTGTCTCTGTCCCGGGTGACCAGCTCTTGCGTTTCCTTCCGGAGAAGGCCCACATCTTCCCTAGTCTTTGTTATTGACATACTGACAGAAGGATTTTTTGTTTGTCTTAATGTCCCTGGCCAGATTTAGTTCTATCTGGGCTTTATCTTGTCTAACCTGATCCCTGGCTGCTCAAACAATTCCGTTGTATTCCTCCCAGGCTACCCACCCCTGTTTCCACTCCCTGTAGACCTCCTTTTTCCTTTTGGTCATGTCCAGGAGCTCCTTGTTTGTCAATGCAGGCCTCTTGGCTTTTCTGCCTGCCTTCCTCTTTGTAGGGATGCATTGCTCCTGAGCTTAGAGGAGGTGATCCTTGAATATTAACCAACTTTCTTGGGCCCCTCTTCCCGTGGCACCATACCAAGCAGATTCTTCAAGAGGCCAAAGTCAGCTCTCCCAAAGTCCGGGGTGGTCAGTTTGCTGCACACCTTCCTCACTGCCTTAAGGATCTAGAACTCGACCATTTTATGGTCACTACAGCCCAGGCTACCCTCAAGTTGACACTGCCTACCAGCCCCTCCTTGCTGGTAAAAACCAGGTCCTACTTATATAATACTTATATACTTATAATACTTATAAGTATTGTAAGTATTGTAATACTTAAGTATTATAATTATTAGTATTATAATACTTATAAGTAGGTTCTGAAAACCCTCTTACCACGAAGAGATGACATTACATCATCTGCATGTGTCCATGTTGTACTTGGAAGAACAAAATATTAAGGTGCTTGCAGTGGTTAGAGCCTGACACATGTTTTTGGTGGAAATGATGGAACCTATATACAAAGTATCATAGCTCTGATTGCTGGTTAGTTTCCATTCTCTCTATGTAAAATGACTGCAGTATGTGTAGTAAAAATGGTTTTACCAAGATGAAATAACAATGTTTCATTATATGTACCAATTTTTACCTAATTGTTTAAAATATGTGCTTCTGTGAGCTCTTTTTCATAGAAAATATAGTGACTCTTTTGAACAGACTATTCTTGGACTAAGGTGACACTCGTGTATACATATATAAAAGCATATTCATATATAAACAGACACTGAAATTTTCCCAGTCTGTCAAAGCATATCAAAATATTGTATATTCTTGTCTCACGTAAATGGTAGAATGCAAAACTTCTGCCTTAATGTTGACTCCTCATTGGTCTGAATGTATATTAACTGTCTTCTAGGCCTGAACAGCTTGCAAAATACGGAAAAACATGGAAATGCTTTGGCTTGTGGCCGCAGAAGACAGGTTTGTATCCATCTGTATTCTAAATGGAGATAAAATTAATCTGCACTACATAGAATTTTTTTCCCAACTTCATTTGACTCTGTCTCCAGAATGCCTGGGTTTAAGATTCTCCACATTACTCAAGCTGTGCTACATACAGGTCCTGAGACTGTTTTTTAAGTTCTAATTCCTGTCTTTAAAAAAAGAGAAAAAGACCCTATTTGTGCAGTCTCAAATATTGTTGCTAATGCTTATGAGCCTTTAATTTGTTGAAATACACTGTTCCTAAAGCTTAGTCTTAGTCTTTTTAAAAGATGTGGAGAAAATAAAAATCTTTCCACTGTTTGGATTAAAGAATTCAGAATATCACTTGGCCATAAGAATTTTTGGGCAAACATCAAAGACTTTGTTTTCCTACTTAAAAGGTTAAAGATTGTGCTGGTTTTGGCTTAGATAGAGTTAATGTTCTTCATAGTAGAAGGGGCTTTTGTTTTGGATTTGTGCTGAAAACAGTGTATATAGATAATACAGGGGTGTTTTAGTTATTGCTAAGCAGTGCTTACAGAGTCAAGGCCTTTTATGCTTCTCACACCACCCCACCAGCAAGCCGGCTGTGGGTGCACAAGAAGCTGGGAGGGATCACAGCTGGGACAGCTGACCAAAATGATATTCCATACCATATGATGTCATGCTCACATATAAAGCTGGGGGAAGAAGAAGGAAGGGACGGGACATTTGGAGTTATGGTGTTTGTCTTCCCAAGTAACTGTCATGCATGATGGAGCCCTATTTTCCTGGAGATGGCTGAATATCTGTCTGCCAGTGAGCAATAGTGAATGAATTCCTTGTTCTCCTTTGCTTGCGTGCATGTCTTTTGATTTACCTATTAAACTGCCTTTATCTCAAACCACGAGTTTTCTCACTTTTACTCTTCTGATTCTCTCGCCCATCCCGCCGTAGGGGAAGTGAGCAAGCAGCTGTGTGGTGTGTAGTTGCTAGCTGGGGTTAAACCATGACACGATCTAGCAATTTTGTAATTCAATACTTTGTTCATATGAGGTAAAAACATATATTTACTTGGGAAATTATTCTAGTTTTTATAAACAAATAGGGTCTTTTTATAATGCTACATTTCAAATAGTTATTTGCATTCTTTTCATCGCTAAGCCTACATCATTGAATTGCTTCAAAATAATTCTGCTCTGTTCACTAATGCTGGAATTCCCTATTGGTGGGAAGTACAGAAGTGTGTGCCTTAATGGAAGGCAATCTGAAGTTGATTTGACATTGGAGTGAACTGTTAAAAACTGATTTTTGCACATAGCCAATCTTCTTCAGTTATCATGACAAACCGATAAACACTTCTGAATGAAATTAATATTAGATACATGTATTGCCATTGTTGAATTCCTCTTGAGAATATCTTAGGAAGCAATATGGAGTCTTTCTGTTTACATAATATGCAAAGTTATCAACATACATCCATTTTGGTGGGAGCTGTTTCATTTTTCTGGAGTTCATTTAGACATTTCATTTTTCATATAACGGGGAAGGACGAACTTGCTTATGGTTGGTTGGGTTTTTTTTCAGACGGTCCTTGAGGAGACTTGTACTTATTCCTAGTTCTTTAGGCATTTTTACAGAAGTTGAAGTATTGGTTAAACCTTTAGTCACATGCTGTTGTCAAATTGGTTGATGTTCTAATGAGAGCTCATCTATCCTTGGAGGTTAAGCCCCCTGCTACTTATAAACAGTTTTTTCACTTTCTCACAAATCTCAGGAATAGTTAAAGCACTGAGATCCCCCTTAAAACCTGCAAATACAACCAGTGCCCTAAAAAAAAAAAAAAATAAAAATCAGCACTTACTGGATTTGCTTGTTGCCTTCAAAAACATAATAAGTTACTTTATTCTACCTTAAACTCAGATAGGTGCCTTGTCAGCCAGTTGCTGGTGAGCTCACACACTTCCATTGATCTTGTTTTCAACATCAAGATTTAAACTAATCAGACCATAACTGACACAGAGATAATGACAGCTTTATATTCACCTGTTTTTATGTTAAGGTAGTCTCTTATGGGGTCAGCAACAAGTACTGTATCCAGTTCTAGATCTAGGGCTTGTGCACACATCTCACTACAAAAAAATAGATGTCACATGCTTAATTCTGTTATTATAGTACAACCTTAATTGAAATGTAAAGACTAAATTTATAGAAAACTACATCTGATAGTAGTGAATAACTCATTGAAAATTTCATAAAAACTTGAAAGAAATTAAGATTCAGGACTGTGTTTCTTTAAACACTTAGAAAAGTAAGCATTTGCTGTCTGCATGATATTTATGCCGTACTCCCTGCAAGTGAGACCTCTCATAAATATTGTAAACAAAGCAATGATATTGGCCTTTTAAACAATACATCTGCTCCTCTGCTTAATAACCTGGGTTATAAAATCATCTGCATGCATGAAAGAATGCAGTGAATGTCAGAGCTGTTGACTTCTAGAACTTCCTTTTCCATGTAGTCCCTCTTTCAATGTTGGCATTGTTTGCTCTTGTTTTGTATTTTGGCATTTCATTGCAATGGTTCAGTGCCCATTTTCAGCCTTTCATTGCTGTGTTTTCAGTTAGCTGCATACAGCAATCTGCAGTGCTGTTGAAAGGAAGTGTACTTTATTTTCTCATTCCTAAATTAGGGCATGCAAGTGTCGCAAAATTTAGGGAACTGTTTGTACTCAATTTTATAATCTCTATGTGTATGGCAAGTCCTGTGAGTTGTCTAAAATCTGACTGACAGTTTGCTTAAATTAAAGAATGCATCTGAAAATCTGGGTTTTCAGAATTTAGTGAGACTTGTATGGGAAAAAAAAAATGTCCATATATTTAAACTCAGAGGGGAAAAAAAGAGCAGAGCAGAGTCCCAGAACACACAATCGAAGGAAGACAAGTTACTAGAGCAGAACTGACTCTGAGGAATAACAAGATCTTTAGATATATGAGGGTATGTCTACACAGTCTGTCTGGCAAACTCAAGCTTGCTCTGCCAGCGTTCTGCACCAGCCAAACGTCGCGTTGTTCTGGACTAGGCTCTGTGATTATGTTAGCTCAAGCATAGTGCTGCATTATGTCCAGTCTCTCAGTCCGTCTTGGTAGCGTGTAACAGCGCAATGCTAGAGTCTGCATAGCTGCCATCCCAGAGGGCACAGGCATTTGGAGGCAGGGAGGGAGCAACTTAATGCTCTATACAGTTTCTCGGTGAAAAGAAAATGAGTCAGTCTCTGGTTTACCTGGTTAACCAGGCACGTTCCTCATTTATATCTTAAAATGAATAAATTTATTTGAAAAAAACCCTCTATAAGCAATTTTACAGCAAAACAAGCAAGAAAACAACCCTTTTAACAGCAGACGTAATTGATCGTTACAACAAGTAACACGGGTTGTGATTGTCTCTGTTGCTGGAAGTATTTGAATTATCTGGTGCTTTTGGTCAAGCATAACTGTGTTACTTGAATAAAGATTTTATTTAGGAAAATTTTTCTGGCATGCTCTGAAATGAGGTGAACTAGATGGTTCCAATGGAATTGTTGGCCTTTTAACAATAGCTTAAAAAAACACTATTCACTGCTGATGTAAAAGAACTGTGGAACAGAAGTATTGGAAAAAGGAAGTATTTTTGATAAAGGGTAGACAACTTCAGAGAAGTTTTAGGTTTCTAACTGTTTAGAAACACAACTGAACTACTACTACTCAATTCTTTCACTGCTTCGTGAGGTTTATCGGTGATCATAGTTTCCTGAAGAGGCACTGATAGTTGCATTAAGCTGGAATAAGTCTAGCTTCCACATGTGAAGTTTGATCTTCATGTACCTCAGCTTTCATTTTGTGTAGATGCAAAATTTTTGGTTGTTGCAGAATAACCAGAGTACAATTTTGATCAGGCTGACTGTTATCCAAGTTCCTTCCCTCCCCGAGGACACCCCCCACCACCACCTTTCACCTCTGAGTGCTGCTGCCACTTTTAGAGCTTAAATTCAAGGGAATCACAGAATCACAGAATTTTCAGAGTTGGAAGGGATCTCTAGAGATCATCTAGTCCAACTCCCCTGCTAAAGCAGGATTGCCCAGAGCACATTACTCAGGACTGCATCCAGGCGGGCTTTGAAAATCTGCAGAGAAGGGGACTCCACAACCTCCCTGGGCAGCCTGTGCCAGTGCTCTGTCACCCTAACCGTAAAGAAGTTTTTCCGTGTATAAGGAGGGAGGAACCATGCAGAATGACACTCAAAATTGTCACCTGGCCCATCCCTGGTGCCTGAATTGTTGTTGTTTGTAAGGGTGGCATCTTTTAAGGATGCCCAGAAGGGGTCCAGGTAATTAAGAAAGGAGAAAGTTGTGTTGTTTTTTTAAAAAAACAAACAAACAACAAAAAAAACCCTAAAAATAATTTAAAAATATATCCACAGATGAGGAATTTGTCTGAGCGTCTTGTACAAATGGACCTCTTGTGCCACTGACAGTCATACTGGCTGGTCCTGGATTGTCCTGCCCAGCCACCCCTTGTGCATAAGCAACGTGGTATACATTTGTCTCATGACAGCAGCCACGAGACTTATATTTCTACTGGGTACAGTATTTGCAGAGTTAAGTGATGTTTGTTCCCCTGTAATTGACAGATTCTCTGTACTACTCAGTTATACTAGCTGGCTTTATCAAGTTTAAATTTCTGTAAGTTGAGGCTATTTCTTTACAACTGCATTTCCCTTTCTAGCCAATTCTTCACAATTTTGAAAGTTTCAATTGTAAAGGGCAGCCACAACAGGAGGATCCTGGGCTGGGGCTGCTGGAGGAGGTGGCCACTTCTAATATCCCTTAGCAGTTTTGTAGCCAGCAGGATCTGGTTGAGTTGTGAGTATTCCCGAGATCAAATGTACATAATCCTTATGCGGTGGGGGACTAATCCTTTGCTAATGTACCTACAATGATAAATTTGTAACTAAACCTGTAGACCCTTATGGGGGCCCCCCAAGGTGACCTGTGCTAATAAAACCTCAGGTTAATTGGAACTGGATTGGAAAAAAAAAATATATATATATTTATAGAATATTAGAAGAGCAATAGGAGGTGTAAAAGACTGAAGCCGAAGGCTTAGAATTTGTAGTTTGGGGGATGAAAACAGAGGTTTACCAAAGTAGATAAAAGACCTCCTCCTGTAAGTAACAGATCATTTCCAACTACCACATGGATAAATGGTGTTGGCTATAAAGCAGGAGGGAACCTGAGAGAATCAGGCTATGGCTGACCTTTACAATTTGTAAAAAGTGCCTTATCATCTGATGAACCTCATTCGCTGTTGTTATGTACCATGTGCTGCTTATCTGAATTGCAGTTCAGCTCAGGTCAGAGCAGAAGTGGTTTATTGCTGTGGCTATAGGTGAGGACAGGCAGGAGCAGCGACAGGCTCTGCTGATGTGAACTCTGCCCAGCTGGGGCAGCTACAGAGTTCCTATAACTTTCACAACCTGTTTCTCACCAAAACTGTGTCAGATAAGCAGCATATAGTACATAACAGCAGTGAATAAAATTCATCAGACAAGGAGGCTCTAGACAGTATATCCTTTTACAAATAGTTCACTCTTTCGATTAAATCGTTCTGACCGGCAAGACCATTAGCTGCAAATGCTTCTTAACTGCTGAGGCCTGCAAAGGCCTCTGAGACATTAACTATTTTGCTTTCACACACTGAACATGAATGAGTAATTACAGTGCTTTTGATCACTTGCCTATGTGAATTTCATAGTGCTGTTATGAACAGAAGCACTGACTTTTTTTTGCTATTTCAGAGCAACTCCAAAATAAGTAAAGCACAGGCAATGGTTAAATGCAGAAATAACAGTGCTGCTTAGTTGGATCTTCAGCAGTCATTTGCTCATGACATGCATATAAACACATGCAGATTTTGTAGAAGTCTGGTAACTAATGTTTTTTAATATGGAATTTGCTGGTGCTCACAGAAATGCCAGCATGAGACCAGTGAAAATTGACCATTTGTCTCCTTTCATAACTTACTATGGTCCATGAGACCATCAGGAGCAGCAGGACGTCTCCAGTCTAAGAAGCAGAAGTGAACACATATAAATTAAATGGAACAGCTACACAATACAATTCTTTGTACATCTCAATCTCATTAACATTTTTAAGTTTACATTTTTTTCTGTAAGTAATTTCAGATTTCAGGGAATAAATATAGAAAGAACATGCTATCAAAATGCAGTTTAAAATAGAAATTGATACTTACTTTTTAGTAACAGTTTTCCTACAGAGTTGTTTCAACTGGAAATCCTGTCCTGTATTTGCACAGATGATATGTAATTCAGTTGGCCTAAGGAGGTGTGTTGATCAGACATCAGCATGATTAGTTGTGTATTAAGCAAACAAAGATTTTAAGAGATTTGTGGAGGACCAGATGCTAGCAGAATAAGTTGGTTTAAAATAATTCCATAGTAAAGTTGCTAATTGCTATTTCAGAGTGAAAAAAATTACTGTATGTAATACACCTACATTAAAAATGCAGTGATTAAAAATAGGCGTGATAGGATATATAGGATCTGTAAGCTTTTGTTATATATATGTGTGTGTCTATAAAACTACAATAAAAGAAAGTTAATACTCCATTCTCCCTCACACTTTACTGTAAAGGTAAGCTTCTAAAAAGAAAGTATTTGATTTTTTAAAAATACAGTTTTCTTTCACTGTGTGCAGTCTTTAAATTGTTTGTATTGAGATATTTTTATTGAGAAGCAACTAAGGAAGAACTGGTACACTGGAGAACTGCTTTGGAAGATATTGCTTACAGATGTATAACTGCAAGTAATTTTCTCTCCTTTTATGAGAGAAATGTCATCCCCTAAAGATTAAAAGCTTGTAAGTCATGACAGCGAGACTTAAGCAGTGGGCTCAACAAACACCCAAAAACAAATGCATAGCTGTTACCTGAGGTTATGGCTGATCTCACTTTCAAATGCAATACATGCATTTTGCTTCCATCAGCATTTAAAATATTGGGATTTGTTTTTTCGAAACAGACTGAAATTCCTTTGTTGTTGGTAAATGGTGTCTTGATTCTCAGTCCCTAGATTAATGTATTACGAAATGCTCTCTTTTGTGATGCATACTAGGATCAGTCAAGGTTTGTCTTGACTCAATCGGCTGATAAAGTACAATTTTAGAAAGCATGTTTTGAACAAAGCAAAACTTTGCCCAATGTCTTTTTCTTCTTTTCTTCCTTGTGAACATTGAAGCATATGGTTCTTGTTTCAGTAGATGTCTGCTACTGTGTTGTAACACTTGACTTGGTAACCTTTGTTGTTGTATTTAGTGTCAAGTTATGGTGCTCAGAAGAAATCAAAATGACCCTACTGACCCTCAGACATCTGTACCCTGTAATAACTAGAGAGCAGTATAAAAACTTGCTTTTATATTTGCTATAAGGTTAGCTCTTATATTAATAGCTTTCTCTGTTCATATAGCTGGTATTTTTCTCTATTCTTCCCCTAGCGATGGACTTACAAAGAAGACTTGGAACTGAAATCTGGAATAAGGGAGTTCGGAGTGGGTAACTGGGCTAAAATTTTGGTCCATGGTGACTTCAACAACCGAACTAGCGTCATGTTAAAAGACCGGTGGAGAACCCTGTGCAGGATCAACCAAGACTAAGTTGGACTACAGGAATCAACTCTTCTTGACATTTCCCTATGTAAGGACCTAGTCTGGCTTTTCAGAATAATAACTTATTTTAGTCTCAGAATGCCCAGCTGTGATGCTGTCCTAATACATGAAACAGAACAATAATAGGTGTAAAACATTCATGTAAGCTCCTTGCTTGGATAACGATGACTTAAATGTAAAGCCTGGCCTTTTATCTACATGCAATAGATGACCTAATTTCTGAAATATGAAAATGCTTGCAGTGATTTAAGAACGGTCAATTATGTACATAGAGATATTAAATGACTAGCAACATGTTTAGCTTGACAGAGGCTAACAAAGAGTCAAGTGTTCTGTATTTCTAAAGGGTTGTATCTCTGGTTAGATTGAGCTTTTTATCATTTTACTTCCTGCCATATAACCCATTCTAATCTGATTTGCTTCACTTTGACATTTTGGTCAGACTTGTCATCTCTATCAGTAAGTTATACCAAAAAATACGTATGTATTGGTATTGCTGATTTTACAAACTGATTCCTTTTTTTTTTCAGTTAAAAGATATATATTGTTGAAGAACAAAATGTTCAGGAAGTATTAAGATAATCTCTCTGCTTTCTGTTTTGGAGGCTTGCTTCCATTAAGATAAATGGTAAAGTACAGTTACAAAGGTTTGTTTCACACTCTTTTTGTGGACAGAACCTCAGCTAGATCACCTTCCTCGTTCTTGCCACCAGCCAGTGCGGTTTCTTCTTGCAGCTGCTAGAAACAGCGGCAATCAGTAGTCCTTAGGTTCCACAGAGATGCTGCATGTCTTAACAGTAAATTTCCCCAACCTTAAGGCATAATTTCTTTTTAGCAAACATTGCGAATTCCAGGATCTTGATAAAATACAGGCTTTGTCCTTCAGCAAGGAATGCTTAGAGCAGCCATAAGCCAACAATTCAAAAAGTCATAGCAGGTATCTGACAAGTGAGAAAGTGCAGCATGCATCCTCTTTAATGCTGTAAGAATAGTTCAAGGTAATAGGTAACAAAACAAGGATTTGAGCTACCTGCATAGCAGTCTTGCCAGTGCTCTAATATTGCAGGTTTCTATGTTATCATTGTACATGAGCAGTTTTAACTAGTAATAAGTAATTTTTTTTTGTTAGCCAAGGCTTTAGTCACAAAGACTTGTTTAGGTTTTTCTGATGTAAAGTTCACATTGGGTATTAGTGACTTGAAGTTCCGAGCACGACTGCTTTCTTAACAGCGCTGACTAGTCATGCATCTTTATGAAGGTGGCTGAACACGACAACTGCAATGTAAAGGAAGAATACTTATCCACTTGTAGTATAAACAACTGTCTAGATGATATTGGGAAGGAACAAGATCTAAACTGGTATCCGGTTTTAGCTCTTAAACTCTCGTTTTTATTCACCTTTGCTATTTAATGATGACAGTAACTGTTCTCAGACTTGAGAATGTTTGGCTGGCTCACTACTGAGTAGGAGCAGTGCCTGTAGACAAGACCGTGGCCAGTAAACTTTAGGAAAAGCAGCTACTACGGTTAGAAACATTAGCTCTTTAATTACAAAAGAGAAATGTGGAAACATACTTCTAGTGTTCTAATACAAAGATCAGTCTTAGTGTTTTGTATTAAAGCAGAGAGGGTTTCCCAAAATGCTTCTTCCAAAGTTCTGACTCCTTTCAAGTTTGTTTAGATCCAGAAAATGCAGCAGAAAGATGTAGGTTTCTTGACTTTGGTGTTAATTTTCTTAATCTTTTTGTTGTTGCTGTTTTAAAGGTCTTTTAAACTTTTATGTAAAAATAAAGCTATGCACAAGGGGACACGAACAGTGTTCCAGTTGCCGAATCTTCTTCCAGGTTCCTTTGCACTGAGAGTTGCCAACTGCTTCCCAGTGTAAGATTTTACCTCTGAAATGTGACAATAAATGACGAGTTAAAACACTGAAAACGTTATATTTCATGCTACTAGGTTGTGTTGTATAACATGTCAGAAGATATGATTTGCTTAATAATGTAAAATTTTAATTAGCTCATCTAGCTCTTAAAATGCTTTCTGGAGCAGGCACTATATTCCAAAGTATAGTATACAGGATGGTGGTTGTACAGGTATTAAGTAGTATGCATATTAATAAATGTATAGCTCAAATAAAAACTTGTTCTGAATATTAAATGTCTACTTTCAAAATTACTGTTCTAGAAACCAGGTGTGTAGGTTCAAGAGAGAGGAGTACTGATCCACCACTGTTAAACCTGAAATCAGATTTGGATTGTGGCAGGAAATACCTTTTTTAGGTAAAAGTGCCAATAGCTGTAAAAAGACCTCTTGCACTACAGAAGTTACATTATCGCTTCACAATAGCAAATAAAGCATTGAAAGTGCTGAACTCTTATTTTGAAATAATTTCCAAATTTTATCTAGGTTTTAAAGGCAATTTCTGTGAGAACTGAAAGGGTAAATCTGAGCTCTGCAAGCGATATGAGCTGTTTCATTTTTTGGGTATAATAAATGCAGCTTTTAATGAGACCTTGAGAAGTCTTAACTTCTGTGCTGTGTTTTGCTACCAAAGAGACAGCAGAAAAATGGCTTTCTTTACCCATCTGCATTATGGCCATCTCCAGAACAGCGATGCGTGTCAGTATTCATCGCTGGAGGCTGGCAAGCTACACACACGGTATGTCCTTCTCGTAGGTACTGCATCCATCGAGCGTACGGCCGATTCTCCAAAGCACAGTGGTGTGAAAGTGATTCTGTTTTAAATTCCACACAGTATCTGCTCAGAAGGAAAAGTACTGAATTAGTTACACTAGATAAAGCACAAGCGACGTATACACTTTAAATGTACTTACCTATCACAGGGGTGGTATTTGTGAAGTGCAGGTTAGACATCATCATTGCTAACAAGGCTGTTTCTAACCTTAACCTAATTAATGGATTCTTACAAACATTACACAAACTATTTTTCATTCCATGCCCCAGTCCAGTGTTTTCTGTATAATTTCACTTTCTGGTTGTGTTCTGTATTCTTAAATTATATTGAAAAACAAATCTCAGTAACCCATATTTTTTCTTCTGTGCTGCTAAAAGGGAAAATGGAAAAGAGGCTTTAAGAATACCGACAGGCTTTATTGCATAGGGCAAAGAGTGATGAGCACTACAGACCCAGTAATTTAAACTTCATAACCATCTCTACTGGTAACCAAACAACATTTTTTACTGCGTGTGTCGATCAGTTTTAAAAAAAAGGTCTCTTGAGACTGATCACATTCAGCCCATTTTGTTCTTGGACTTACGCTTACGGATACATTTGTTTAGCATTATTTACTGTTTGCTTTCAAAAGCAGCTATCCTCAGATTTGCCATGACCTCTATGTCTGATTCAGGACAATTAGTAAGTAATAAAAAACAACATCTAGAACATGCAAATGCACTGCAGGAGAGAAAAACTACAAGCTATAGCTTATTGTTTAATTATTGCAAATTTAATTACATTTTTCTCTAGCCAGCAATTTTCTATTGAACAAGATGACCCACATGCATATGATAAATAGATTACCCAGCTGCTTCTTTGTTTGAAGGCCAGAGAGAAGACGCTGCTCGTCGTTTTCTTTCTTTACCGTATTCAGAGGTAGTTATGAAAGCAGGGACTGAAGAAGAAAACAGTTACGGTAAAGCAGCAAGGCACCATTGCGTCATATTTCAATTACTGTAACAGTGGGTGAATGAATCAGGAGCTTGGGGATGGTGATGCTGACTGACTTACTGAAAAACCGATAAAATGTTGGCAACAGCAGCCTCGACCCCCTTTCCTACAGCTAAGCTCTCACCTTATTCAGCAGAAGTGCATGCCATCTAGTCTGTGAGGAAACAGGATGGGCTGGAATCCTACAAGGAGCTCTGTCTCCTGTTTTCGTACTGAAGTTGTGTTCTAACTTTGCACAGAGACGTTATACTTAGGGGCTTAAATCAAGAAGCTGAAGGAATACATGCAGCTTAATTGCTTACTTAATAGAAATTAAGAAAAGCCCAAGTAGGGAAAAAAATACAAGAATAGAATAAAGAACAAGTAGACAGTAGAAAGTAAAGTTTTAAATTGTATTTTTAACCACCTAGCTGCAGATAGATGCACTTTTTTTCTGTTCATTGACATCAGTACAATTTATGAAGGCCCTGACAGGCACAACGTACAGATAAAGCAAAGAGAGAATACCGTGTTCATGGCCACAGTCCTCTCCCTGGAAAGTCAGGTATTCCAGGCAGCCAGCCTTCTCCTCTAGAGCAGGACAAGGTTCCCCACCATTTTTAGGTTCCTGTTGTACGTAGCGCCTACGTATCCGCAGATCGGGTTGACATTGTTCTGCGCAGCCACTCCAGTGACTCCACTCCCCCACAACGCACGGAAGAGCTGCAAGGCAGTATTAAAACATTACTAGTAGTCAAAACTTCTCTTTTGTCCAAATTGCTCTTAAAAACTTGAGTAATAAGACTGCGTCTCATTTTTTTTTTCTTTCATATTTTTATTTATAGGGTTTTAAGTGCTGTTCTAGGAGTTTGAATCTTCAAATTAAACATTCAAACCTGCCTGCAGTGTTCGGTTCCCCATTCCATCCCTTGTCCAGAAAGAAACAGCTTCTCGTGGAAACTTTTCACTACAGCTGTGAGGTTCTTCTGCACCCTCTTCTGAAGCATCCAGCATTAGCCCCAAAGGAGACCAGTTCATGGATTATCTAGACCTGTGAGTGGTCTGACCTACCTTGGCAGTTCCTACACCACCAAACTTTGTTTAAAGGCTGGAACATAAAATATCAGAATTCAGGAAGCCTTTCAGCCCCCTTGATTCCCCTCAGATTGATTTCTAACACCTTTTGCTCAACACTGAGATAAGTTCCACTGCAACAGCTTTGTTGCCCTGTTTTAACTCAAGGTGTCGTGCTCCACGGTCCTTGCCACAAAGACAATTTTTGGTGATAATTTTGGTTTCGTTTAGTCTCAGAATAATACCGGGATGTGTGTAGAGTTGTGTTTCTGTGTCTGTATAGCTACTGATAGATAGAGCTTTACAAAAATGCAGATATTTAAATGTACTAAATAAAATGTGTAAAAGTGTGATTTTAGGGCCCCTTTTTGCTCATGCCCAACAACAGAACAGTCCACTGCATATCTGAATTTTAATTCTCATGGATCATAAATTTCCTCTGAGTTTGACCAAAAGATTATGGGGAAAGTGCCATCATTATTTCGGAAGTCAATGTTGAATCATAAGAAACTGCATTTCCCTCAGACAGAGCATCAATAGTACAGGTACCATACACTTGTACCTTTGGTCTCTCCTAACCCAGCCTAACAGTCAGAGGCACAAAAAACTTCTCTCTTCATCTGTTAAATTCACATATATTAGGTGAGCTCACTGAAGGTCTCAGATGAAGGAAGAAAGAACAATGCTTTGGTTTGTATTCTGTGGTATTTTTCTGGCAACTGTTGAAACCTTTAGCCCAGTTTATGGCCTCTTAACACCTTTTTGATTAAATAACACAGGTTTTTTAGAAAAAAGCTAAATCATCATATTATGTAGAGAATGAGCCATTATTTCATGTTTGTCACTTTTGCTAACCTTTCCAGGAGAGATGTAAACAACAGACTAAGTATCTCTTAGTTCTGGTATTGTCTCGAAGCTCAGAAATGCGCAGATCTATCATATCTGTTATCTACCAGCCATTTCCTTCTTTTTTTATTCTCTGCAGTGCATCTAATAACGATGGCGTGCTCCTTCTAGTTCCCATTAGGCACGATACGCATTTTTTTCAGTCTATAATTCTCCCTTCTCTTGTGTTTCTCATTTATATTCTGGCAAAACAGTAGCTCTATGTCAGCCTTCCCGATGTAAGCACGTGCAATATGCCAGATTTCTTGCAGGTGGTTACAAATAGTTTACTCTGGAAGAAAAGGTTTTGCGGCCTGATTCCCAGAACACAGAAACAGGTGATGGACACATTATTCCTGAGTAAGACGCCATGTAACACACAAGTCTTCTTTTATTTGTCCGTTAACACAGTACACAACAGTAAAAAACACACAGCTGTTTCACATTTCAGTGAAACTGAGCTTTCCTTGGCCTCATCGCCAGGAACACCAAGCCCTATGTTTTGAAAACTGTGTGGCCTAACAATTTCACTTTCAGCAGTCAAAATGAATATTACAGCTCTTCAAAACCGTACTGAGCTCTGACCCCTGAGGGGCTGGATGGGGATGATCTCTGGGTGCTTCCTGATGGAACGAACACAACTCCTCCAATGGGGAACTTCCAGTTTACACAGCCTCGACAGGCAGAGCAGTGAAAGAACAGGTAAAAATGTCTCGCACATGGGCATCCATCAAGAGGAAGAATCCTCTGACGATAAGTTGTCATTTCACTACACGAGTAGTCCTCAACCTGTGGCCTTTGAGGACATTTAACTCGACCAGTGGTCCATTGCCAGTAGCCTCTTTTCCTGAAGGCCACCTGGAAGGTGCTCCAGGTTGGGCAGCCGCATTCCTCCGGGCCGCTTTTTCTCTCGTCAGTGTGTGTGTAGAGCAGCGGCTGTACCAGCTTCCCATGCCTGCACGCTGTGCTGCTGGGCGAGCGGGGAACGGCCGGGTCTGCGCCTCTCTAACCCAGAAATGAGACAAGCGGTCAAAACACTGCAGCACTGTACTAGTCCATGCTGCTCTCCCTAATATCATTAGCTGCTTTTTGTCCTCTGATGGGCTTGCTTTTTCAATGAAGTTACAATTAATGTCATGTAACTGAAATAGTAGCACATAGTGGCATAAAAACCTAACGGTGCCTACGTTAAAATTAGACTTTCTTATTGATATAGAAATTCCCCAGTTCTTCAATGACTTGTTTTCATTGCACATTGCAAATAGGCTTAAAATTATTTTCCATGTAGTGTGAATCACATTTCACTTTGCTTTTCCGTTCCTTTATAAAGGCAGGTCTTCAACATGATACTTACAGAATGGTACAAAATATATGTTATAACCAATGCTTGGGCTATCTTTGGTTCTGAATTGGTTTGGGTCATGTGTCTCATTATCTAGTAAAATGAAGCTTTTTCCTCTCCCATGTATGCTGTTTCCCATTAGCTTGTAAGGGACCATATCACATGTTTTCGATCTTTTTTTTTTTCCTATATTTCCTGATTACAATTTAAATCCCCAAGAAGCTTTACAGCTTAACCACTAGTTACCTACTTGTAACAGTGTTGCAGGAAAAGTGATGGGACCAAACTAGACTTTCAGGAAAATATTTTATGCCCTCTGGGATTCTTCCAGTACACGGCATTGGGACGAAAGAGTAAAATGTGATAACCTCTTTGGTGTTTGTGACTCTTTTCTTAAGACACAGGAATTGCTGGGTTTGCTCTGTCACTGCATGTGTAATTTCTTGGAGAACTACAGACATCATAAAGCAGATAAAGCCCCTGACAGAGGCTACCCGGCAGATGTTCTTACCGCACTATTACAATTCCCCTCCTTTCCTCTCACTGTGCACCTGTTCTGACCAAACTTGCCCACTTTTCAGTTGCCCGACAGTGCCAGGCGTACGAGTGGCCGAGGATGCTGCACCCCATGCCCTGAGGAACTCCACAGAAACAGAACCACAGAGCAGCCCTGGGCATTGGGCCACCAGTTACCCATCCTGCTTAACCATTAGCATTCTCTGGCATATTCTTCTCCTTACTGATAAACACCTTCCCTGAAAACCCCTGGGTATGATTTGTAGAACAGCACTGGAAAACATCATGGAAAAAGCATATGGTTCCCTTTGCCACATGCAGATACCTCTGACACATCGAGGTACCCCAAGAGACATGACACCGTCTCTGGAGCTGTGAAGGCACCACCCCAACATGTTGCAGCACAACCCTCAGACATTTGTTTCAAGCATTTTGAACTAGAAAAAAAGAAAACCAGTGATAGTAAAAATGTCTTAGATCCCACCATGAGTTAGCCAGGACAAGTGCTAAAGGTAGTATGGACATCACAGTCTTTTCCACTTGGCTGAGGAGCCAGAAAACAGTCCTTGTCCCCACTTTATTTAATAATACAAGCGTAGACTTCAATGCCTGATCACATATCTTAGTTCTACCTAGAGTTCCCAAAGGACGGTAAGTGTCATCTAGCCCAGTTGCCTTATTTGTTGACTATTTCCCAAGCTGTCTGCATGGATGACCTGCAGAAGTAAGAATTTCCACATAGTTTAAATCCCCTATTAGCACCTTGAAATGCAGACAACATGAGGTTGTGAGACCCCACCTGGAGTACTGCATCCAGCTCTGGAGCCCCCAAAATAAGAAGGACACAGACCTCCAGAGGAGGGCCACAAAGATGATCAGAGGGCTGGAGCACCTCTGCTATGAAGACAGACTGAGAGAGTTGGGGTGGTTCACCCTGGAGAAGAGCCTTCCAGTACCTAAAGGGGGCCTACAGGAAAGATGGGGAGGGACTCTATCAGGGAGTGTAGTGACAGGACAATGGCTAACTGTTTTAAACTGAAAGAGGGTAGATTTAAACTAGGTATTAGGAAGAAACTGTGCTGCGTGGGTGGTGAGACACTGGAACAGGTTTCCAGGGAACTGGTGGATGCCCCATCCCTGAGTGTTCGAGGCCAGGCTGGATGGAGTTTTGAGCAACCTGGTCTAGCGGAAGGTGTCCCTGCCCATGGCAGGTAGGTTGGAGCTAGATGACCTTTAAGGTCCCTTCCAACCCAAACCATTCTATGATTCTATGATCCCATTTTCCATGCAGAAAACTCCCCAAGGGACTGAGCAGCTGCATAACAAATATAGCGATGACTTCACATCTTAATGGAATTAAACCAAGCTGACAGTTACACATTGGTTGTCTGCAGCAATACACGACAATTCTATGGTCATCAAGATTTAGAACAAGAAGCATGAATTGCCTTAGTCATGTGGAATAATAAGAATATTGGGTTGCTAGAATGGAATTTAGCCAGTGGGATAATAACATCGCTCTTGCAGTCAGTACCCAGCAACTATTAAGGGACAGTACAACAGTTTTGTGCCTCATTGGAAAGATGTCAAATTCCCCAGCATGACAGAGAACGGGTCCCAGAGCTGACATGAAAGGAATGGCCCCATCTCTTGAAATACAAAAAGAAGTACCAGGGACCCATAGCTACATCTTTATGATCTCTGTCTACATTACTATTGGTCCATCTTAATTAACACAATGATGGTAGATGATGATTCATTGAAACAATGAGAAGGGTGCAAGTCAAAGGAACCTGAAGGAGAGGATTTGTGCTCAGAGACCTACCAAAATGTGGAAGCTAATGAGACACTTGTAAGTTCAAAAATACACAGGAAAATTACATTGCTATCCTATGAAACAAAGCTGAGTGGTCAGGACTCTTGTTTTTTTTCCATTTACAACACTGTGAATCATAGAAAATTTTTTTGAGTCACACCCTTTAATTTTTTCCCCATCTCTGGAAAAAAAAAGAGGATTACAGTAGCTTCACTGAATCACAGCACAATGTATGTTGTTATGTATAAGGATCTGTGAATTTTCTCAGAGTAACCACTTCCATTCGAATGATGAGGTCATTCCTTTTTCACACTTTCTCATTGTACAGTAGTTCCTATTTAAAATGCTCTCTATGTACAAAAATATTCTTTCTTCACTGCTAGAACAATAAGGAAATGTATTTAAAACTCCTTGGACATAGGTTCAGCA